CAAGGGTGGGGAAAGAGCCTTTCACACTGTCCTGGAATCCAAAAGGCCTGCCTTAGCTCGATATTCTTCAACATATAATTAAACGATCTTCCTCAACCCGAGTTCAACGATACTACATCACCCAATTTGCTGATGATGTTATCCATGTAGTATCATCCACCCCCATAACGGGAAAACATAAACATGTGAGGTAATAGAAAAAAATGAATACTGAACTACAATGAACAGCAGACTGGGAGAAGAAATAGAGAATCACGACCAACCCAGACAGTCCTCATCAGCACCATCGGGGGGAGGGGGGGTATCTCCATCAGAGGTACACCTATTGCCATATGAAACCCGAACAAGATCTTGGGATGTGAGATAGACAGATTACTCCGCTCCACCTCTCACATCTCTGAAAAGGTGAACTTAGCAAAGCCCCGCCTCAGCAAACTATGTAGGTTTAATCAGGCCCCTTCCCACATCAAGAAACACTTGTATAAGATGATGATAAGACCTATGTTTGAATATCATTTGTGTACCCATGTCACTAACAACGAAATCCAACATGCTATAGCTACAAAGAGTCCAGAATAGAGCACTCCGCTTTATCACAGGCAACAGGAGGAGAGACAGAATCAGGATGGAAGATCTACACATCCAACAGGAGACAGATGCAATAAATAACAGGCTTGATAAACTAAAGAAGGGATACCTATACGACATGCAAGACCTCTATATACCAGACAGAGAAAACCCTCCCCAACCAACAAACCACCGACTACATCATCAACACACCCTCCCCACAGAACCCAAAGAATGACCCTCCAACAAAGAGTGTGACGCTTCATTTACAAGGATAATTTCCAGGGAAGTACAGTGCCTGCACTCTGAAGGAGGGGTGTTAATGTTGCAGTTTAAAAACTGTAGTGTAAAGCACCCTTCTGGCAAGACAGTGATGGAGTGAAATGATGGTGAAAGTTTTTCTTTTTCGGCCACCCTGCCTTGGTGGGAATCGGCCAGTGTGATAATAAAAAAAAAAAATAATAATAATTTCCAGAGACCAACGATCCTGAGTGACCTGCCAGAAGATATAGAAATATGGTACCACCAGAACCTTTATGTGTCTAATAAGGATAAAATCACCCCAATTTATAGACTTCATCATTAACTAATTAACACTTACATCTACTTACAACCTATAACTTACTTCTACTTACATCTGCTTACAACTTATAACTTACGACCTACTACGACAGGACACCACCTCTGAAGCAGCTGAGTCAACCAGTATCTCCAGGAAGCAATCGACCTACATCAAACGCCTTGCTACTGTCATTTTCCGGCATACGCCCTGCAATCGCAAAAAAGGCAATGCAAAAAGTATACCCCTTACCAACTCAGCGCCATGCAGTTGTACATCTGTATAACTGTGTGAAACTGATGGGTAGAGTGTTATATTACATTCATGTAATTGATTTCAGTAATAACACTACACACAAATACTTGTATTAAAATGCCCCAAAGTGGTTAGACCACTTACCTTTACTACCCCACCTCCACTACCCCCACCCACCCTTTTCCCATATTTCCATCCTTACCCACCCTTCTTTCCCATCTTACCAAAGCTCTGGTCATAATTTGCATTGACCATTTTTGTGGTGATCTGGATTATATCAGCAGATGGTGGCGAATTCGGGAATGTAAAATTGGGGATGTTGTTTAGCCTGAAGAGTTCATTGATGGTGGTGTTGAACGTTCCTGGTTTAGCAATATTTGCACATACGGGCATACATCATACAGTAAAATATCTTGGTTGGTTCACAGTCAAGGATTACAGTGGTGGTGGAGGGTTGAGAAGTTTAGTGGTATCTGCCTGTAATTTAGCGATGGCAGCCCCTCAAGGAAGGTTCCTTGATGTTGGTGAGGGGCTCTTGATTTAGGGAATTGGATCTGTGCTCCAGTTCCCCGAATTAAGCCTGAATGCCTTCCACATCCCCCCCCCAGGCGCTGTATAATCCTCCGGGTTTAGCGCTTCCCCTTGATTATAATAATAATAATAATAGCGATGGCAGCTTAATGGGTGATCTGGAAGAGGACTTCTTTTTGCTGCTTCTTGACTTTTCTTCAGTATTTCATGTCGTGTAGGACATTTTTCAGCAAGAGTGTGGTGGTTGCTCTTGCAATTGAGGCAAGTTGGTGGAGCGGTACTGGAGCAGGTTTTGAAATCGTGGCCCTCACAACCACAGGTCGTGGACAACGTTTTTGTCCTTAATAACCTTAATCGGGCAGACCGCAAAATATGTGGGTGTGAGCACGTGATTTTCTGCACATGTCATCCTACTCGTGCCACGCATCTAGATTCCCGTTCTTTATTTCTGACCAATCACAAGCCTTCCCTGAGTCGCTTCAGCTAAGTGGTGCTGTCCTGTTCTCGCTTCCCATTGGTTGAAGACCAAGATGTAAACACTTCTGGCTTGGCGTGTCGCCGAGAGTAACATTTTTTTCATCTAGTGAGACTCAAATACCCTTGATTTTTATCCATTGCAATGTCGGTTAAGTACTCATTGTTATGTCTAGTGCATAAATGAATAGTTTGGGCATATTTTGATATATATATAAAGGCCGTGTGAACCATAATATGAGTGTACCATGCAAATGAAATAGTGCAACAAAAGAGACCTCAAAAAATTTTGTTGTCCCCTTTTAGGGCCAGTTTTCAATTTCAGTAAATAAATATTTATAAAAAATATTTCTATTGCTTATATGAATTTTTGTAGCGGTCTGGATGTGTACAGAACGTTTTTATTGTCCTTCCAGATCAATGAGAAATTGTTTTATGGTGAGCCCTCCAACACCAGTCAAAATGTCTGTGTTTTGGAGGAAAGTGACTCAGAACTGGAGGTAGATGACCCAGAATTGCTTGAAAGTGGTGATGAATACTTGCCACTGGATGATGAGGAAGAAACGCCAGCCAAAAAGTGAAAAATAGTCAAGAAAAAGAAAGATATTAGGATCGAGGAGATGCCTGTTGAACAAGAACAATTATACCACATCGTCATTTTTTGCTTCGTATGCAAAGTAAATCTATGCATAAAGAAGGATAAAAATTGCTTCATACCCTTCCATTCTGGCAATTAGTAATATACAATGACTGTCCTTTCTCAGGAATTCAGAATATGGGACTTGAAAATTTTATCCCTTTGCAATGGTCTATGTAGCAATTTGGTTTCTTTTTATATTTTTCTAATACCTAAAAAAAGTTTGGATACAAGTTTCCATTTATGTTTTTTCATATTATCTGTTTGTATAATAAATTAGAAAAATAGTTTATTTGCTGTTTTATTAACCTTTGCAAGTTTGCAACATCCAAATTTATACTCCCTTAAA